GAGGAATCTATGGGCGAAATTGTATCATGTTTAAAGTTTCATTTGATCTGTGCACGTTGAAGCGTCTGGGTGCGTAATTCGCACCCCCAAATTCCTGTTCAGAAGGTGCCGGCCATTTGGGCGGAGGGCTGTTGCAGCCCACACCACAATTAACACATCAAGGCGGGTGGGCGATCAGAGGAGAGAGGGCCAGATCCGGTCACAAAGGGGGAACGAGTAATTTGGGAACAGCGGTTGAACAACAAAAGACGATTTGAGGACACCCGTCGCGCCCAGGCGACATTTGTCGTCCGCAAAGTCTGCGATATGTTGATACAGTGTAGACCAGACCGAAAGGCGCCAAAGTGCCGCTGGTTCAAAGCGCACACCCAGGTAACCAATCACCACCGAGGGGCCGGACCAGGGGTGCGGTATGCAAATATCGGGGGCAGTGTTATTCTTGTATTTTGCATATGTCACAATAAAGGTTCGAACTCGAGGAGGGGGGGGCTCTGAGCGTGATCACGGAGCAACTAACCGTCGTTCGCTCTCAGAGATCCGCTTCCGTCGATATCGAAGACAATTTTCCTGTGTGCCGAGTCGTTTCTTTAACCTTGTCCGAGAAAATCTCTGACACACACACACACACACACACACACACACACACACACACACACACTCAATGTGAAAAAACATAAAAAAAAATAAAATAAAAAAAAAAACCTTAGTCAGCATTCAGCTGCCTGATTTTTCTTGTACACAAAACAGTGTAATGGTCGATGTGTAACATGAAGCAGAAATAAGTATTTAAAGGACATTTCTGTTGTTGTTTTCCATTTATCTGACAACAAACTTTGAACAAAAATATTATCACAGTACCAAGTCAGTCGATGCTTTCTAACGGCCAGTGACTACAACAGCAACTCATTTATTTCAGAATGTGTGAAAACCAAACTCGAGTTCCAAACTTTATGATGGATGATTGTTCATCTGAAATTGAACAATTGCTGCAAATGATCTTGCGCAATCATTTGGAGCTGATGATGCGTAATTATTTTACAGGACAGAAGAACTTCCCAAATGCAGCCCAGGAAAATGTTCTATAAAATTTGATTGTGTTTCAGAATGATGAAAATGAGTTGCAATCTGCACTAATAATAGATTAGAACTGTTGCTTCTTCGTGAGTGTATTGTGATGTGCTCAATTCAAATGATAATAAACCAGGAAAAGCGAATCGCGACCCATATCCCCTAGTGACTGGTTTGACACCAGACCACATTGGGCTCATTGTACTGGGGAAACAAAAACAATGTGATAACATTCCCTCTGTAGTATTTGCTCTGGTGGTGCATATTTAGACATAACGACCATTCAGAAATGACATAAACTTTTTACTCACCTCCAAAGGGTGCTCTCAGTGACACTGCCTATATGAAAGTCGTACAGCTTGGTTAGTATCAGGATAACCTGGAAATGAAGAATTCAGTTTTATCAACCTTGTAACAAGAATGTTTCACTTCAACAAACATATGTGTAAATAAATAATTGTGGACTATGGTGGATGAGTAATCAGGTGATTATTTTCTTCGTTTTCTTTTTTAACTATTATGGAAGTGAGTTCCAGAGATGAGGGCCGGCATGGCTCTGGACCGAAAAGAGGAGCAACAGGTTAGATGAACAGTGATGAGTATGGAGGAGGAAGAACAGTGGCATAGTGATTTGGCACAAGGATAGATGAAAGAAGAAAAAATAAAAGTGTCAAATTATAGACGGGAGAATGCCATTTTAATCATTACGCTGACTAGCAGCCAACTGCAGGTTCAGTATGGGGATGTGTTCAAAGGAGTTTTAGGAAGGATGTTGGCATCCAACAGAGTTCTGGATAGTTTATGATGATTGCTTTTGGCTGTAAGAAAGGGAAAGTAGTTAATGTTGTATACAGTAAGTGGAAATCTGCTGGCTGTGTTAAGTTATTGAAATGTGCGTTGAAGAATAATGTGCACGGGTGTTGAAGTTGACATTCAGACTGTTGGAGGAGCCAAGGACAATAATTTGGAGGAGGCAAGGACAAAGGACGATGCGAGACCCACCAGAATTATATGACTTGAACAAGGAGAGAGGTGTAGCTGAAATCCAATGGGAGTTAAGTCTGTCAAGTTTGGTCAATAATTAATGTCAAAAGCTGCACGGAGGTCAAGGGGGATAAGCATCACAAAGAATCCAGAATTCACTGGTATCAACAGGTCCTTGGATTAAGCAGGTCTGTCTCATTACTGTGAGTGAACTGAAACCAGACTCACGAGCTTCAAACGGATTGTTGGTGAAAAGGAGAATGTGGACTTGGTTGGGCTACTGTTATTTTATTTATTTATTTATTTATTTGGGGGGGGGGGGGGCTGATACAAGCGGTGGGTTGGAGAGTGGGCACTGATGAATTCCAGATAGAGTTCTGGCAGGTTTATGGATGGCCACGATATCCCACTAAGCCTGTAAATAGCAAGGAGTTAGAGGAATTATGTTATGAACTTGAATAATGAGCAGTGATGGATGTCCCATTTAGAGAGCCCAAATGTGTCAAAATTACCTCAGCACACTAGTTAGAGTTTCTAAGTAACCCTTTTCTGCCATGGTTTAAAAAAAAAAAAAAAAAGTAATAATAAAAAGTGTCATGCCTTCTGCAATACAAAAATGCTCATGGAACAATCCCACGCTGCATAAGATACCATTGATGATTTGAGAGAAAAAGGACAAAAAAAAACATGTACAATTATCATCAAACCTTGATCCAATTGAGCACCAGTGAAGCATGCTTTAAAGCAAGGGTGTCAAACTCATTTCACATGGTGGGCCACATACGGCCTCGGTAGATGTCAAGTGGGCCGGACCATTAAAATGATACAATACTTTGCTATAAATAACCAAAACAATATGTCTTTCCTTTGTTTTGGTATAAAGAAGCACAAGAACATTAGGAAAATGTTGAAATTTAATGAACATATCTTTTACAAAACATTTCATGAAGCACCTTACATTTCCTTCGACAAATGTGCAATTTACTTTTATCATTCACATATATGCATTGCAACAGATCCCACTGATTGTACAAACTTTAACAAGTAATTGGTATTGAAAAATATAGTAATGCACTTTAAGATTAAACGAGATTTATAAAGAAAGGAAGTTTTAAACCATTTACATGTGCATATAAAATCTAAATGTAATCCCTGCCTGCACTTTACAAACTAAGGAGAGTGCTATTAAATGTGTAAATGTGAGAGTGCTATTGATAGCGTCTGCTGTCATGGGTCTGTCTCAGTGACAGACTGAGGCTGCTGTTGTCTTCTTCTCTGATCAAAACAGTGTCCCCTTGCGGATACTCAATGAATTGCACCTGATTAAAAATATTAATTCTGTGTCTTTAATGCATTTTTTTCACTTTTA